TTTTACCCTGTGGCCTTTACTTTTTTCTTATTGGAAGCAAAATCTTCTCAGCCTCCTTTAAGAATCACCACTCAGCTGATTGAAAGGGTTGATTTTATTGTGGTTCAGGCACCATTGGTAAGGACAATGTCCAATTATTTATGCAAAAGTTTCAAATTCTTTGAGTTTTGACATCTGATAGACAACTCCGTGTCAAGATAAAGGTTTAACCATGTACATCCTCCATAAAAGAGCACACCCCAACAAGATCTGTCCCTCACCTTCCCACGGGGATGGCCAGGTAGAAGATGGAGAGCATCATCGTGCGTTTGTTACTCGTGAACAGATCTCCAATGATGGTGGGAGAGATGGAGGAGTAGCTGGACTCTCCGATGCCCACCAGTCCTCTGGAGAGCACAAACAGCCAGTAGTACTGAGAAGAGACAGAAAAAAACATGTTGATAAGCTCTGAAAGATATCTTCCCATCTATACACAGTGTTGACCCACCCACGCCTCACAAAACCCGACAAGAGTTCAAAAGCTGCAAAGATGTCTCTTTTCTTCTGTTAATAAAGAACAAACATTGTTCATAAATTTATCTTATTTGCAAAAAGCTCTTGGCTTTCTCTTGGCTCTTCGTGGCACCTACTGTATAATGCTACGGCCTTATCAAAACCATGACATTAATTCTATGAAAAACTCATGATTGTTGGAAAAAACATAATTTGGTGACGAGTGTGACAAGTCACTGTAGACAGTTTAGGATCTTTTGTCTCACCGATATTCACCAAAAGACAGTTTCTTCTGAACTGTTAGCGATAAACCAGCACAAAAATCAAAACAACGTTCTTGTTAAGATCAAATGTAAGTGCATCCATCAGCCGTAGAAAATTGTGCATCAATAAATGAAACGATGACTTATTTTAATGGCCTTCTGTTGGAGGCAGTGGGAATGTCAACTGTTTCCATGGCAACCGCTGTTAAAAGGATATCGACTTTTATGTCTGCACGTGAAGCTGCAAATAAATCTAGTTTCCGTACCCGGGAAAAGGACACAAATTACAAACACTGTCCACTAAACTGCATTTTGTCTGTTGGTTCAAAACTAAAATCAAACCTGACAGCAAGCTCAATATGAGGAATGCGTTATTTCCTTCTGAGACATGTTCAGGTACATCGAGGCTTCTCATTATGTGTGTGCAGGGTGAGAAAGAGTTATAGGTCCTTGTGTAAACTGATAAATGAAGTGGAAGCCAAGCTACGACCGTCACCTCAGAGAGGAACTGATCTCTGAGCCAACTCCTCAGGCTTTGTGCTGGTGGTGGCCCGGGACACAGAGTCCAGAGGTCATTCACACACAGCCATCAAACATTCTCTGGAGACTACACCAACACACACCGTGTTGTAAAATAACGCTCAAGAGATTCACCTCTACCCCCCTCAAAACCCCTCTGCTGTTGGCTCCATCCTTATTATTTACAGTGATGAACGGTTACAGCTTCCCTTCACAGCTTTTCTTTGTTTACACTGTATTACATTTGAACTCCTGCGTCTATGATGAAGCTGAGCTTTTACTGCCGCAGCATAGCTTTGTCACACACTTTAAAATGATTTACACAAAGTCTGTTTTCTTCCTCTGGTGGCCTGTTGTTACAGGGATCATGACAGAGGCTATTTTCTGGAGGGCGGTTGCCTCCAGACTATCATCACCCTTGAACCAGAAATGCCAAAAACACCAGAGAGCCGTGCAGCCAAGAAAGCACCACAAAATTTTGGTTAAAGAAATGGTAAAAGTTGATTGAAGACTGCAAAGAAATGAAGGAGAAATCTATTTAAAAATACTTTTTTTTGCTCTCTATCTGTGTACTGGCGCTTCTATTTTATACATCTTCCAAAACTAAAACTACTGTCATGGATCTGGTCAGCTGGACTTTCAACGCAATCGATAAAATCTTTTCAACCAAGCGACAGGGTCCTGGAGAACCCTCATGCCCCACTGAGACACATGCAGCAGGATACATCATGGATCCGTGGGGAGTTTGGGAGCTGATATGTCTTTTCGTATTGTCTCAGGAGGATGCCAAAGATGTTTATATAGTTGGAACCATGACAGCAGGGTTTCTGCTTTTGGGCATCACGGATACTTATGTTATCAGCTATTAAAAAAGACAGTGGCAGCAGCTTCAGCCAAGGCAAAACTGCCGAGTCTGTGTGAAAGTTTGGTTCGTGCTTTGAGTACTCAAAATCAGCTGATTTACGAGCTAAACCGTAAGATGAAAGCAAGTTGTGAGAGTCGCAGGCCACTTGCAGCTTCTGGGACTCGCTAGCATGTTGGAGATGACCTTGGAAAGGGCTCATAAGCACGGACCAGTGGAATGCCCACAAATCTGGCCATTTTGGATCTTGAAAGTACCAGCAGGACTCAAGGTTGACAAGAAAAAAAAACAGTCTGCCTGAAAAAATCAACAGTTGTGACATCTGAATCTGACTCCCCTGGTTGACCTTGAAGCAGGCCGACTTATCAAATTTCTCCTGGGATATGTGTAAACTAAGGAGAAGATATGTCCATCAAATCCCCCCACCCTGAGAACTCCTGTGAACGCTTATCAGAGCTGTACCGGCTGACACCAACATATTATCAGGACTATGGTGCTATCTGGAAGTGCTTCATGGACAAATCTCACCTTCTTGACGTCAAATGCAGATGTAATGTGTCTGTAAATGTGCTTGCAGGTAGAGTTTTTTTTTACGTCTTAAATCGTGTCCTGATAAGGACAAGGTGTGAAGAGATCTTTTTTGTAATACCACTATCCTCTCCTCATGGCCTTTTCCCCTGTTCTATCTAAAAAGTATTCTGAAAAATGATAAGGGGCTGTGTTCTCAAGGAGCAACAACAACGTGCACTTCGCCAATCTTTCGGACGACTGTACGAACATAATATCACTGTATTTCGGTACAATGATAATAAAGCTTATTCTGATTGTGATTCTGATTCTTTGACCGAGTTTTAAAGCAAATGTTAACTGAACTAAAGGCTAATACTAGCATAGCTAGCAAAATTTTACAATTTAAATGTGTTGACAGTAATGTTTTAGCACATTAGTCTACCTTCACTTTATAATCGTTTAAAAATGCATTTTATCTTGCCTATTTTATTCTGATTTACTGAATTACAGTTTAAAGAAATATAGTATTTTGATAGCCTCAAGTAAATGAATGCTATTATAAGTGTACTATAGTTAAGCAGAATGGCTTCAAGTACACCTTGTTTGTTGAAATATTCTAATGCATCAACATATTTACACATTTAATCCATTAATAAAAGAAAACCCAGATATTTTGAACAGTGGTGTTACAGTTTTAGAATAGATTTCTTTTAGCACACTTATTCAACAAAACAAAGTTACTGTCCGACAACTTTCTGTTCTTTTGAGGTTATTGGCTTAAAAGTCAAATCTGTGGAATAACAATTGGTACCTAATCAGTTTCATATACATTTAGTAAATACCTGTTAATAAATGAGCTATTTTCCAGTTCTGCTATCTGTACTATGTAGTACTAAACTTGTTTTTTCAATTTTGCCTTTTAGTTGCTTTAGAAACAAACGTTTATAAGGACGTTCTAAGTGGTCAAAGCAGTGTTAATTGCTTTATGGAGTGGTTACAAAGACATACACATCTGTATTCACATCGTCACAGGAACATAGTGATTGTGCAACACTCAGCCAACAACCAGTGCGACCACATCACCTTTGTACAGCAATGAAGACATTTTGTAGTTGAAGCAGTTTAATTGTTAAAACGGAAATTAAAGGGTAGGACAGTCATCGAATGACAAAGGTATAACAGCCAAGACTCCTACAACAGATCAGTTTACTCTGTGCTGTACATGCTCAAAGAAAAGCACGGCAACAGTTAAGTAGCTTCTACTGGAAGAGCGTCCAACTTCCTCGAGCAATCAACGAACAATTACCGGTATGTATGGACCGATCACATCCTCTTACACCATTTGGGAGTTCCTACTGAGATAAGAAAGCCCTGACACCGAAGAAGGAGATAAAACAGACCTTAAATGACCACAGTACCATCAGTGTGGAGGCTAACGAAGACAAAGTACCTTAAATGGTTACAAACTGCTCCCCTTCTAAAGCACTTATTGACATTAGGACTGAGAATGGCACGTGACCATTGCAGATAATATAAAATGATATATTTGTTTTTTTTTGCTATTAAAAATCATCCATCCAGCCATTCTTTGTATTTAACCTAAGCTTCAACATTTATGAAAATTTGGAGGAAAATGGAGACACATTTATGGAATACAGCTGCATGCAGACAGGGTTTCACAAGCTAAATATTTGCTGTCATGATTTCTTTATTGTCATGAAGATAAATAATAATCTTTCCATTTTATGTGCCTGCATTCCACTGCAAGTAACTCCCACCTGCTGTGCTTAGCTGCTGGTTACATCACATTCACATTTTCTCTGCTCACTTTTGCATCATCTTTAATTCAATAAAGCCTTTTTTTTTTAAAGATGCAACCAGTCAATCAGTTGTTTCTTGGCAGAACATTCTGAAACGTATTCAAAGCTGTTTAGCACCATTTTTTAAACTTTTCTTTTAAGCACTTGATTTCTACCTTGTCCCTTTTGCCTTGACTGAATTACTTCAAGCTGCACATTTTTATTTGTAATAAAGTGCTCCTGTCTCAGCCAGGAGCAGTTTCTGTGGCACAACAAGCCTGAACACCAACTGTGGTAATCAAATAAAATATTAATTAAGGCTATAATGATTTCTTGTAAAGACCAGAGGATCCACCTGGCCAGGTTTCATCACAATGGTCTCGTTTTTCTCATCACCCACTCTGTATTCATGAAAAACGAGTCATGCCTTCTATTTAATGAAATAAAATTTAAAAAATAAATGAATAAAAAACTAGATATATGTGTGAGGATTTGTGTAATTCTTGTGCCTTCTGTCCTGCTCTCCTCAGTGGTCTCCCTCTTGTAATCAGATCCTGCCTGTTGTCCTTCTCCAGGTGTTTGTCATGGTCTGTTCGTTAACGGCTGTATATAAGTGTGCGTCTGTGTGTTCCTCATGGTCTGGGCATTGTCTTGTATGGCGTTATGGTTCTGTCTTCCTCCGTGTCATCCCTGAGATCATGTAAATCTGCTGCGCGTCAGCTTTTGCTTTTTCTGTGTTAAATATATATTGTACTTTAAATCCGAAGTTCTCCGAGTCCTGCCTGCAAATGGGTTCTACGAGACACAAGAGTCGCAACAATGTACGCAGACTAGCACTCTCTGAAATTGGTTTCTCAGATCACACTATTGATTGGTTCTCTAATTATCTCTCAGATTAGAGGCAATGTGTTCAACATAATAGTACACCTTCCACTTATCTAACTGTAAATAACGGTGTTCCACAAGG